ACATCATAATTCTTTCACCAATTTAATTCTTTACTAATTAGTAACTCAATGCAATTTAAAAACTTTCTATTAGCGCATTTGGGTCATGATATTTGGGCTGTAAATGCATGAGAAACAACTTATTTAACAAAACAAACTCATTTAAACCCATTTCTTGGTAAATAAACCCATTTTCTGGTTAAAGTAGCAAATGAAATGCAAAGAGTGCTGTCAAAGTCTCGAACATTTGAGCTAAGAGTTGAGACTCGGTAGCTTTGTAGGGACGTAAAAACTAAGTCGATTGGTGCTATTAATTAATTCATCTGATGGATAGTTTTGGAGCTAATCGAGGTCAAATTTGAAACTTCGATCGTCATTTGTTCAATTATGGAAACAGCTTTTTTCATGAAACTTATCCTAACGATGTAACTTTTGATGATCAACCGGAAAACGGTCTTATTTAGTTAGATAACATTTTCTGTTTCGATAAAACAGATCAAGTTCGATTTTATTTTAAACCGATCGCATTCTGTGACCGTAATAGTTAGAGAGTTAAAACTTAATGTTAGTTATAAAAAATTGCTTGTAAACATCAAGGATTAATTAATTTTTTCAAGTCATTAACAGTTCTCTTGATTTTGGCCATTGAACTAAAAACTTTTGACCCTATATATTTCGATAATGATAGCACTTACACTCCCCATTTTTTGACCAAACATTAGATTGCATTTTGGGCTATAATATATCGAAGTATCAAATTATTCAAGGTTCTGCGAGAAAAGTTATTGCATTGAATTACTTATGTTATCAGATTTGAGACTTGGTTTATAAAGTTGCTAAACAAAAATCTTATGCTTTAGAATATTCATTAATAAATGAATCAGCTCAGATTTTATACGATATTCAGTCATATACTGTTATAGCCCATAGTACAATTAAATGTTTGGTCGAAAAATGGTCATTGTAGGTGCAATCATTATCGAAATATTTAGGTTCAAAGTTTTTAGGCCAATGGCCAAAATCAAGAGAATCGTTGATAAATTTTAAAAAATATTCCATTCATGATGTGTAAAAACAATTTTTATACACAAATAATAAGTTTCAGCTTCCTAATTGTTATGGTCATGAAATGCGGTCGGCTTAACTAAAAAGCGAACTGATCTGTTTTACAGAAACAAGAAACTTTTATTCCTCAAAATAAATGCATTTTCTCATTAGCCATCAAAAGTTAGATCAGAAATATGAGTTTGATGAGAAAATCTGGTCAAACAGTTGCACAAAAGGGTTCGAAGTTTAAACTTTAACTTCGATTTACTCGAAAATGTGCTTAGAGCACTTGTAAATGCACAGACATCAGTTTTATGTCCTACAACGA